GACTCTTTTCTGTCTTAAGGTTTGAAAGTGTCATCCATGAATTTGACCCGTAAGTGTCTTCCCCTCGTCCTGCGGGTTTCCCTCTTTGGGATCAGTGGATGTTGGGTGTTGTTTGCAGGGCTGTGTTTGCTCTCAGCAGTCTGTGAGCAGTTGTCCAGCCTGTGTCTGGACACAGAGGTGCTCGTGTTGTTGCAGGTACTTTAACTACCGCACAACACGCTTCCTGGCAGAGGAAGGCTTCTACAAATTCCACAACTGGTTTGATGACCGAGCGTGGTACCCCTTGGGCAGGATTATTGGTGGAACCATTTATCCAGGTAGGCCAGCAGGCTTTGGCTGTGCTAGAACACACTTTGTGCAATGCTGGGCTGCCAGGGTGTGGATTTGGGAAAGCAGCAGCTCCCATCTGTTCCATCCTTCCCACCTTTTTGGCTGCCCTGCTCCAGTTGCAACCCACTGACGGTGCCACATCCATCCCACAGGGCTGATGATCACCTCGGCAGCCATCTACCACGTGCTGCACTTCTTCCACATCACCATCGACATCCGGAACGTCTGCGTCTTCCTGGCGCCCCTCTTCTCTTCCTTCACCACCATTGTGACTTACCACCTCACCAAAGAACTCAAGGTACAGGGAGGACCATTTCAGCGCTAGGTTTTATTCCTTTGGGGTGTAGCTGTGCATACAGGGCCGTGATCTGATGGTTCTCTTGCCCTGTGGCTGTGCTTCCCAGGACGCAGGCGCAGGGCTCCTTGCTGCTGCCATGATTGCAGTTGTGCCTGGATACATCTCTCGTTCTGTTGCTGGATCCTACGATAATGAAGGTGAGTTTGTAACACTCAGAGCAGGGAAACCTTTAAGAAGCCTGGTTTCTCTCTCCTGTATGGGCTGTGGGGGACCACATAAGGAATCACTGTTGCGCTAAAGGGTAGCTGGTGGAGCTAGAAACCACGTGAGCATTCTGCTGTGTATTGACGTTGAGGTTACACTGACATTCAGGGTGATGTGAGCTTGCTCTGACCTCACTGTGTCTCTCCACCCAGGTATTGCCATTTTCTGCATGCTGCTAACTTACTACATGTGGATCAAGGCTGTGAAAACCGGCTCTATCTATTGGGCAGCAATGTGTGCTCTTGCCTATTTCTACATGGTGAGCATTCTTTGTCCTGGCACCCAGATATCTGATAAATCTGGGCTTTTGGCAGCTGGGGCTGTTCAGGGTGCCCTTTTTGGGAAGAGCACATGATCCCAGGAAAACAAGACTTGCTGTTGGACCCCACCATGCAGCCTGTCCAGCCCTGGAATTGGTATTTTTCATTTTTCTCTTGCCAGGTCTCCTCGTGGGGTGGCTATGTCTTCCTGATTAACTTGATCCCACTGCACGTCCTTGTGCTGATGCTGACTGGCCGCTTCTCACACAGGATCTATGTCGCCTACTGCACTGTGTACTGCCTGGGGACGATCCTCTCAATGCAGATCTCCTTCGTTGGCTTTCAGGTGAGGCCTTCAAGCACTGCTTGTCTTTCAAGAAATCTTGGAAGTTCCATTTTCCGTGAAGGAAACGCTCACACCAGCACACATCTCCATATAGTAGTTCGTGTTTTCAAGAGAAGCAGTTGTCTCTTTCTCACCTTTAGTGTGCTGGTGTGGGGAATACAGGTTTTGTGGACTTGGAAACTTCATCTGGAGGAGAGCTTACAGCAAGGAGGGCTCTCAGAATTCATTTTTCATGTGCATTCCTATCAGAATTAAGGCTGATTTGCAATTAGTCATGTCCACAGGGAGGGAATAGCTTCCTCTGACTTCAGCAAGTCATGACTTCAGCACTGATTTTGCTGAGATCTGTTTTTGGAGTGACTCAGCTGCTGTTTCCTTGTGTCTAATCACACTCTCCCCTGCTTGCAGCCTGTCCTCTCCTCAGAACACATGGCTGCCCTGGGCGTCTTTGGCTTGTGCCAGATCCATGCCTTTGTGGACTACCTCCGCAGCAAGCTGAACCCACAGCAGTTCGAAGTGCTCTTCAGGAGCGTCATCTCCCTGGTTGGCTTTGTCCTCCTGACAGTCGGGGCTGTGCTGATGCTCACAGGTAGTTCAATTAACGGTGATCCCATTAATGGGGATGTTGCTGAGCATGTTTCACTGCTGGCTTCATCTCTTTCCAATGCTTTGAATCATAGAATCACAGAACCGTTAAGGTTAGAAAAGACTTCAGATCACCAAGTCCAACCCCAGCTCACCCACTAGCCCCCCGCTGAAGGGCACACCTTTTGTCAGTCATGATTTCTGCACTATTGCTTGCACCTTGTGGATTAGGTTGGGGAGAAATCTTCTTGAGTGTAAAATCACACTTAATTTCCTTTTTAAAGTGAGAGTTTTGAATAATGGAGATGTTAAATGAGGTGCAGGATTGCTCATTTAGCTTTGCACGTTTCCCTTATGACAGAACCTGTTGCTGTTGCTGGCTGTGCAAGGACTGATGCTGATTTTCTCCTCTCTGCTAGGGAAAATCTCCCCATGGACGGGGCGTTTCTACTCCCTGCTGGATCCTTCTTATGCCAAGAACAACATTCCCATCATTGCCTCTGTCTCAGAGCACCAGCCCACCACCTGGTCCTCCTATTACTTTGACCTGCAGCTCCTCGTGTTCATGTTCCCAGGTGAGCCCAGCCTCGTTGCAGTCAGACCCTCAGGCGGTCTCTGGATTTATTACATCCTTGCAGTGTCTCCACCAGATAAATTTTCTTTCAGGCTAAGGGGAGCCTCACCTGTTTCTCTTTCCTCTTTGCAGTTGGTCTCTATTACTGCTTCAGCAATCTCTCAGATGCCCGCATTTTTATCATCATGTATGGTGTGACCTCCATGTACTTCTCTGCTGTAATGGTGAGGGCTGCTCGGGTTGGTGCACTGTCGTGGGACTAAGCAGGACACAAGCAGAATGATGAGATTATAATAACAAGGCTGACTTTTTTTTTCTGAACTTGTTGGTAATGGCTTTAAAGAGGGTATGTTTAGGTTAGATGTTGGAAGTTCTTCACTGAGAGGGCAGTGGGACCCTGGCACTGCTGCTCAGAGAAGTGGGTGCCCCATCCCTGGAGGTGCCCGAGGCCAGGGTGCGTGGCTCTGCTCAGCTCCCTGCTCCTGCAGGCTCTGATGGCCGTGCTGTTGCCTGCAGGTGCGGCTGATGCTGGTGCTGGCCCCAGTGATGTGCATCCTTTCCGGCATCGGCGTGTCTCAGGTGTTGTCCACCTACATGAAGAACCTGGACATCAGCCGGCCAGACAAGAAGAGCAAAAAGCAGCAAGACTCCACCTACCCCATCAAAAATGAAGTGAGTGCTGGGGCAGCTCGTGACTGTAGGGAAGAGGAGAGGCGTTGCTGTTCCTGCTGGGGATGGGAGGGAGGTGGGAGTGCTCTCTCCCCTCCTGCAGTGACGCCTATTTGCACCCCCAGGTTGCCAGCGGCATGATCCTGGTGATGGCTTTCTTCCTCATCACCTACACCTTTCACTCCACCTGGGTGACCAGCGAGGCATACTCCTCGCCCTCCATCGTGCTGTCAGCGCGCGGCGGGGACGGCAGCAGGATCATCTTTGACGACTTCAGGGAGGCTTACTACTGGCTGCGGCACAACACGCCGGAGGTAACGGCGCTCCGAGCCCGGCGGGTGCTGGTGCTCATCTGAGTGCTGACAGCCCGTGTGGTGTTTGGCTGCAGGACGCCAAGGTGATGTCCTGGTGGGACTACGGCTACCAGATCACCGCCATGGCCAACCGCACCATCCTGGTGGACAACAACACCTGGAACAACACTCACATCTCCCGTGTTGGGCAGGTAGGTGCTCCCACCCCGCGCCCACGGTTCGGAGCACTGTGGCACATCACAGCCATCGGGTCCCCTGCAGGCGATGGCCTCGACGGAGGAGAAAGCCTACGAGATCATGAGAGAGCTGGATGTGAGCTACGTGCTGGTGATATTCGGCGGCCTCACCGGCTACTCGTCCGACGGTAAGAGCCCGCAGCACCTTTCCTTCCCCCCCGCACAGCCGGTGCTCACCCTCCATCTTTTGCAGACATCAACAAGTTCCTGTGGATGGTGCGCATCGGCGGCAGCACGGACACAGGCCGGCACATCAAGGAGCACGACTACTACACGCCAACCGGCGAGTTCCGCGTCGACCGCGAGGGCTCCCCGGTGCTGCTCAACTGCCTGATGTACAAGATGTGCTACTACCGCTTCGGGCAGGTCTACACCGAGGCCAGTGCGTGTCCTGCACCGTGCCGCCGTGTCCCAGCAGCCGTGGGGCCGTGGTGGCACAGCGCTGCTTTCTGTCCCCATAGAGCGGCCGCCGGGCTACGACCGCGTGCGCAACGCCGAGATCGGGAACAAGGACTTTGAGCTGGATGTGCTGGAGGAGGCGTACACCACAGAGCACTGGCTGGTCCGGATATACAAAGTATGAGGCCGGAGTGAGCCCCGGCTTTGGGAAAGCATCCGATGTCACCCGGTGTTACCCGCAGGTTTCCTCTCTTGCAGGTGAAGGATTTGGACAACCGCGGCTTGTCGCGGACGTAGAGCCCTGCGCTGCCCCAGCCTTTGCCTGTGAAGCAGAAATATTTTTGGATTTTCTGTTTTTCTGGGGTTGTTTTTTTGTTGTTGTTGTTGTTGTCCTTTTGGTTCTCGTTTTTGGTTTTTTTTTTATACCATTCATAAGTGCAGGAGGAGATGGGATGCCCCCACCCCTGCTGCGTTCCAGGGGGGGTTTTTTATCACACGCAGAGCAGTCACCAAATCAGAAATCACGGCTTTACCGGGGTTGATTAAAGGGGAATTACCGACGTCTGCCGTTTTCCCTCAGTTGCGCTCGGTTGGTTTCCCCGTTCGGCCCCACGAGGGCTCCGTGGCGCGGCGGACCCGGCCCGGTTCGCGGCCTTCGGGCGCTTTTGGCGGCGCGGGGCGGTGCGGGGGGCGGGGCCTCGGCTGCGCGCGCAGCGCGGGGCGGGGCGCGTGGCGCTGGCGGGAACGGGCGGCGCGGGCTGAGCCGTGCGGGGCGGTGCGGGATGGCCGTGCCGTTCGTGGAGGACTGGGACCTGGTGCAGACGCTGGGAGAAGGCGCCTACGGGGAGTGAGTGCGGCGGGGCCGGGGGGAGGGGGGCGAAGTCCTGGAGCAACGCGGGGCGGCCTTTGCGTGCCGCTCTCCCCGCGTGCGCCCCGCACCTCCCCGCCTGCACGGCGCGGGCACCTCGCGTGCGCACCGCTTGGCATTGCGGGTCGTTGCGTGGCGTTTGCGCGTGCATCTCCTGTCTTCCGCACGCCCGCTTTACGGCCTTTGCTTGCCCGGCGCACGGCCGCTCGGCACCCATTGCTGCGTCCACCGAGCGCTCCCCGCTCGGACGCTGCGTCCCGCTTGTGCGCGCGTTGCCTGCCCGTTATCTGCCTGCACCGCGCCCCTGCATCACCTCTGCTTGCCCTGATGCGCGCCTGTGGTGCGCCCGGCCCCTCTCCCTCCTGGCCGTGCCCTGCAGGGTGCAGCTGGCCGTGAACGGCCGCACCGAGGAGGCCGTGGCCGTGAAGATTGTGGACATGAAGCGCGCGGCCGACTGCCCGGAGAACATCAAGAAGGAGATCTGCATCAACAAGATGCTGAACCACGAGAACGTCGTCAAGTTCTACGGGCACCGGCGCGAGGGGGCCACGCAGTACCTCTTCCTGGAGTACTGCAGCGGTGGGGAGCTCTTCGACCGCATCGGTGCGTGGCAGAACGCAAACCTGCGCCTTGCAGACCGCGTCGGAACGGTGCTCCGTGCGCCTGGGAGCTGCGGCTCCCGTCTTCACTCCTTGCTGGTGTTGCAGAGCCGGACATCGGGATGCCGGAGCCGGAGGCACAGCGCTTCTTCCAGCAGCTGATCGCTGGTGTGGTGAGTGCTGCGGGACGGAGCTGTGGAGCTGCGGTGCTCCGTGGTGGCAGCGATGACCCCCGTCCCACCCACAGGTGTACCTGCACAGCATGGGCATCACGCACCGCGACCTTAAGCCGGAGAACCTGCTGCTGGATGAGCGAGGTGTGCTCCCCACCTCGACTTCTTGCTACGTTTGATCACTTTAACTTAACCATCTCTATTCGTTTTCCACCCAGACAACCTGAAGATCTCCGATTTCGGCCTGGCCACCGTCTTCAAGCACAACGGGCGCGAGCGGCTGCTGAACAAGATGTGTGGCACGCTGCCCTACGTGGCCCCCGAGCTGCTGCGGCGCCCCGAGTTCCGTGCGGAGCCCGTGGACGTGTGGGCCTGCGGCGTGGTGCTGACTGCCATGCTGGCGGGAGGTGGGCATGGGGGGCACACGGGATGCGTGTGGGGGTACGAGGTGCGGGGAGTAGGTGAGGTACGTGGGGGGTGTGTATGGGATGCACAGGGGAGGTGTGATGTGCAGGGTGGGGGTGGCTCTCGTGAGAATCGAAAGCCACGTGTGGAGCAGAGCAGCGATGCCTCGCGTGGGAGGTTGCAGCGGTGTTGCAGTGGATGTTTTGCACAGCACAGAGCAGTACTTCTGCACGCTGTGCACCTTGGCACATCGCGTCCTTTTGAAAGCAAACAGGAAAAGCAGCGTTCCTGCCTGCCTTTGCCAATCTCATGTGCCACCCCCGCCATCCCCTCTCCTGCAGAGCTGCCCTGGGATCAGCCCAGTGACAGCTGCCAGGAGTACAGCGACTGGAAGGAAAGGAAGACCTACCTGGCACCCTGGAGGAAGATCGACTCCGCACCGTTAGGTACGCAGCTGGAGGCAGCGGTGCCCCCCACCGCCCCGCACCTCCTGCATGCACCCCATTCCTCACAGCACTGCTGCACAAGATCCTGACCGAGAGCCCCACGGCCCGCATCACCATCCCCGACATCAAGAAGGACCGCTGGTACTGCCGGCCCCTGAAGAAGGGTAAGGGCTGCGGGGCAAAATGCGTTTCCTGCCTGAGCTGTGCACAGTGTTGGGTTTTCCTTGTTTTGCAGGCACAAAGCGCAGCCGGGTGTCTTCAGGTGGTGTCACTGAATCCCCCGGAGCCCTCCCCAAGCACATCCGCTCTGACACAGACTTCTCTCCTGTGAAGGGTGCCCTGGGGTGAGCGGGCTGCACACCTCCCTGTGCATGCTGCCTTTCTGCAGTGCAGGAGCATCCTTCTGCATTGCAACAGCTGGTGCAAACCAGCTCAATGCACACATGACCCCACACTCATTCTTTCCCTACTTGTGCACGCAGAACCGTGATGAGGTACAGCCCTCTCAGTCACCCCTTTTGTAATCTCATCTGCTTGCCTTGCAGTGAGGACAAGGCGAGCTACTCCACATCACAGCCTGAGCCCGGCACCGGCGGCACGCTGTGGGACAGCAGCACAGGCAGCATCGACCGCCTGGTGCAGGGCATCAGCTTCTCACAGCCTGCCTGCCCTGAGCACATGCTGCTCAACAGCCAGCTGCTCGGCACGCCAGGCTCCTCCCAGGTGTGCTCCCTTAGGATTTGGTGTGCAACACTGCAACCTTTTAGATGCGTATCTCTGCAGTGTTTGTAATGCCACGACGCAGCCTCACAACCTTTGGGGTGCAGCTTTGCAGTATTTCTAATCCTAAGGGGCTGCTTTGCAATACCAGAGATGCTGCTTTGCAACACATACCACCTTAGGTTGCAACTTTGCAATGTTTGTAATCAGTGTGCTACCTTGCAATACTCGGGACAGCATTCTGCAGCATCTATAGTATCAGATTCGGCACATTGATAACAGTTAGGATGCAACTTTGCAATGTTGATAATACTGGAGATGCGGGTTTGCAATACCTGAAACGTTTGGGGTGCAGTCTGGCAGGACCGGGGATGCTGTTTCCCGCTGTTCTGTAGCACCAGCATGCAGCTCGCAATGCTCACCACGAGGGGGTGCAACTTGCTAATATTGCACGAGGACGTGCGGCACCAGGGGTACAACTTGATGCACCTTCAGGCTTTGGGGCTGCACGGACCGCTTTGCAGCCACGCGTGGGATGCGGGCACAGCACTGCACTTTGCAGCATTCCTGATGCATTCTGTGCTGCAGAGCCCGTGGCAGCGCCTGGTGAAGAGGATGACGCGCTTCTTCACCAAGCTGGACGCCGACGGCTCCTACCGCAGCCTGAGGGATGTGTGTGAGAAGATGGGCTACGGCTGGAAGCAGAGCTGCACCAACCAGGTGGGGCCGGGCCGGGGGGTGCGGGGATGGGGCTGAGCCCCCCTGACGCCGTGCTGCGCCCCTGCAGGTCACCATCTCCACCACGGACCGGAGGAACAACAAGCTGATCTTCAAGGTGAACCTGCTGGAGATGGAGAGCAGGATCCTGGTGGACTTCCGCCTCTCCAAGGTGGGTGCTGGGGGGTGCAGCGGGCACAGAGCAGCTCACGTTGGGGTGCTGCTGTGAGGTGCTGCTCTGAGTGGGGCTGCGGGACGCGCTCACTGCTCTCCCCATGCAGGGCGACGGGTTGGAGTTCAAGCGGCATTTCCTGAAGATCAAAGGCAAACTGAGCGACGTGGTCAGCAGCCAGAAGGTGTGGCTGCCCCCACCCTGAGCCCCTCTTCCTCCTCCTCCTCCTCCTCACCCTGTGGGGCTCCCATAGCCCCCAGCAGAGCTGTGCTCCCCAGGGCAGCGCTATGGGGACAGCCCGGTTCTGCGCCCTCTGCGGCTTTTATGGGTTCAATAAAGCTTGGGGTCACAGCTCAGCTCTGTGCCATCTCAGGGGCGTTCCGGGCGCAGCGCCGGTTTGGAGCGATCTCAGCCCCGTGCGGTTCTGCAGCTCCGTTCACTCTGGAGCCGACCGACCGATGGTGCAGAGCTCCTTTGAGCTCTGTGGCTCCATCCACGCCCCGGAGCTGTGGGGGCAGCTCAGGGTCCTCCCCGCTCCCTGCCCTCTCAGGGCTGCAGCTGCCCCCGTCCCAGCCTCTCTAATTGCTTTTCACAGCGCTAACGAGCCCGGAGCTGCCAGGGGTTGTTAGCGCTGGAGCGAGAGGAGCGCAGGGATTAACCCGGGGCAGCACCCCCCCTTCCACACACCCCCCCCAAAAAAAGAGCATCCCCCAAACCCCACCCCGAGATGCACATTGGCACCGCTCAGCCCCAAACCCACCGATCCCACTGCTTCTCCAGTTACTGAGTTGGAAGAAGCCTCTTTCCGTTGTTTTCCCCTTTTTCCAGTGGGAGCCCCCCCTTCGGCCGAGCAATTAACGTGGCCTTTCGAGGTTTTTTAATTGCATATTTATATTGCAGCCAGGAACGAGACCCCGGCAGCGGGCGAGGGGCAGCAGGAAGACGCCGCCCCGACCCCGTGTGCTTTTCAGCCGGGATTAAGCGCCGTTAATTGTCCCAGAGATCACAGATTGCAGCCGGGGGATAATTAGGCTGAATGCGGGTTTTTCTGGTTCAGTCCCCCGGGGGCTCCCGGTGGGCACAGATTTGGGTTTCCAGGCAAAAAGGAGCTTGGGAGCACCGTTAGAGTGAGGATTTGGGGGGTGGGAGTGGAGAACCGAGGGTTGTGTTCTTCAGAACCTCCCACAGCTCATTGCAGCAGTGGGAAATTGGTCCTACTTGCAGGGAAGGTTTCTCTTCCAGGGGAAAACCTGTCCTTTGGTTCATCCCCCACAGCATTTTGCTTTGCCTGTTGCCTACCCCTGTTTTGGGGGTCACAGGGGTGTCCCATGGATTTGAGCATCAAGCATCTCTATGGGCAATTGTGGTAAGCCTTTAGTAACCATGTAGTAACTCGTCAGTAAGCCTATAGTAAACCTTTTATCCCCTATACAGGGCTCTTAGAGCAGATGCAGGATTTAGGATGCTGATGTTAGGATGTAGATGCAGGTTTTAGGGTGCAGGTGCAGGACACAGGATCCAGCAGGTTCAGGATCTGGGATGCAGAGTTGGGAAAGGGAATTTAGGGTACAGATAGAGGACAGGTGGTATGCAGAATGGGATGCAGATGCTGGACACCAGGTTCAGGGTGCAGGGCGGGGGGTGCAGAACCAGGATGCAGGACAGGGGATGCAGCAACAGAATCCACAGGGAGGATGTAGGTGCAGGACTGCAGGTGCAGGACGTAGGACAGCGAGTGCAGAATGAGGATTTGGGACACAGATGTGGGATGTAGGTGCAGGACAGGGATGCTCCATCCCCAGAGAGCCCCAGACCGTGCGGGGCCAGGAGGTGGGAAATGCCAGTTCCCCATGAGCAGGGATTGCTTCGTGCCACGCGCCCGGCCGATGCTGGGATTTCCCTGTTTGTCCCCATCTGGGCAGCAGAGCCCGGCCACATCTGCCCACCAGATGTGATGGGGCCGCGCCTGGGGGGTGGGTGGGAACCTCCCTGCTCCCCCCCCAATGGGACCGCCGCAGCCATTGCTGAGATGGGCTGCAGGGCTGGGCTGGGATGGAGGGGCTGAGGAGAGCGGCGTGGGGAGCAGCTCTGAGGTGCGGATGCAGATCCAGGATGGGACGTGCAGGATTAGGCAGCCTGTGAGCAGCACGAGGGGTTTTGCACGGATAAAAGCTGCAAAGATCCCCCAGAACGTGGGGTCGGCCCCACAGCCGTGGGCGGGAGAAAGGAGGAAAAAGCAAAATGCTCGAAAAAGGTGAAAGCCTCCCAAACGCTGAGGTCATTTCTTGGCGAGGAAGTGGGCTCGGCTCGAAGTGCCTCCAGGTCTATTTAATATCAGCAGACACATTCCTGGGCAGGGCGGGGAGAGCGCCCGCACCCCACGGCGGCCCCGAACGCCCCCAAAACCCCCCACAGCTCCGGGACAGCGCTGAGCAGCGGCAGGAAGAGCACAGAAATGGGACAAATGCCCCCAGGATGGTGGGAGCTGAAGCTCTGAGTGGGATTTTGGGGGATGGGGAGGAAAAGTGCCCATGGAGCCCCCAACATGAGGGGCCCACGGCGCTGTGCTGGAGCAAAAAGGGGAAAACCCATTAAAATAATGTGACCCCCCCCATCCCACAGCCACCCTGCAGAGCTGCCAGCATCCCGCA